GAGCCCATCTAAACCTGGAAGGAGCAGGCACCTCGCAGTCCTACAAGCACCGGACAGAGGTAATTTTGCAGTGAGCACCTGTGGTGTGTTCAGTGGGTCATCCCGCAGGTGCGGGCATCTCAGAGGCATTTGTAACCAGCGTACCTGGACAGACACATGTATCATGGCCATTTAGGCTATGACAGTATTGATACATGCATCTCTGCTCCATCCCAAAGCTTCAGGATGAAGATGAAGGGCAGCCAGAAGATTTTAGGCTCTGTGAGCAGGCCCTGTACTTTGCTCCCGTGGAAGCTCCTGCTAGGCTGCTGCTCCAGAAGGTTTGCGGCGAGGCAGGCAAAGTGCCTGCCTGCTTCCACGCTGACAGTGGGCACGTGCGTCACGGGGATGAGGATTTTAGGCAGGTTGAAACAAACTGAAAAAGAAAATGTTTTTAAATCAGAGACGGAACAAGGCCAGACACAAACACACAGGTCCATCAAAACAGCAGCAGCATAAAGATTAAAAAAACCCCATAGTAATGGCTTTGCTGTTCAGTTGTGTGCAGAGCAATTAGTGCCTGTGATTAATTCATTAAAACATTGTTAAAACTCCAAGTGACATCAGGCTCAGTATGAGCATTTCAACTGTCATTTTAAATGTCACATTTGCAAACAGCAGTCAGCTACTCTTCTAGGTTTTCTAAAATCTTACCCCCTAAAACCTGCCTTGACAGGTTAGAGCCTCCCAGCTATAGCCCATGCTCCAGCCTTGAAGGAGGGGAGGAAGCAGAAACGATCATTTGAATGTGTATAGTTTTAATTTTCATTTTTCCCTAGCTTTCCATTGGGCAAATGATTGACTTGACTCTTCCAGAGGCCAAGTCACAGCTAGAAGTAACAGTCCTTATTTGCCACTGTATTTCCTGTAGGAGATGGTGATATTTATAGCAATTTTCTCAGTCCCTTGCCTGAGCTGACTCGTTATTGCTAAGATGCTGACAGAGCAGGAGCAGAAGGCAACTACTCCAGCTGAGATTTTTGAAACAAATTACCTGTGGACAGTCACCATCCCACAACAGTGTGAGTCAGAGGAAATTACTGTTTATAGTTTACAGAACGCATGTGACACGGAGCATGTTTGAAAGCAAAGTGCCTGCCTTGAATAGCTTAGATTTAAAGTAGCTGAGGAAGCAGAGGAGGAGGGAGGGGAAGCAAAAGCAAATCTTGCCAATTCATGGCATGGTGCCTGGTAATAGGTGACCGAGCAGGAAAGAAATCCCTGGCTCCATTATCAACATCGCACCAGCTCTCAGGTGCTGGTGACTTGTTTCCTGGAGATGTCTCAAAACACAACCAAAGCCATTTTAGAAGAGAACTTAGCTCCTGCTGCGATTGCAGACGGGACCTCGTATTTTGGGTTTATGACTAACGTTTGAAAAGCCCAAACAAATGAGCCCTAAGATGTCAAGCGTTTCTCCAAAAAGACTGACACATTGCACACGTGGCAGGTACCGTGCGCAGATGGTACAGTCAGATGGGCCCTGGCATCCCCCAACACGGAGCTGATGTGAGGAAGGGAAGAAGTATCCCTGAGCGTTCATTCGTCAAGTTGGAGCGTCTTCTTAGGTAGGATAAAGGATGTAAAGGAGAGTAAACAGAAAATGGCACAAAGCAGCGACCAAGTCAAAAAGCTACCATCGGAAGGGTGTGTGTGTAGAGGAAGGGAGGGAGAGGAATAATTCTAATTAGGTCACAAGGACCAAAAGACAAGTAACAGGACAAGCTTATCTAATACCTGGGCTGTCAGTACACAAATGCCAGGACGGAGGATAAACGAATAATTAAAGAGTTTTTACACAGCTAATTATGATGACAGAGGATTTGTGAAATAAAAATCACTTGGCTAAAATTTTGTTAATAAAAAGCCAAAGAACAATCGAAGGGGAAAGCACTTGGAGCTGTGCCACAAGAGCTACAACAAAAACAAAGGAACAATGTTTTGAAACGAATTATCTGTTGGAAAAGGAGCACAGTAGGAAACAAACAGTCCGAGTTCTTGCAATAGTTTACGTAAGTTATGGGAATGGCTTTAAGTCAACCATGATTACTAGGATGAATCTGGTTAAGACCAAAAACATGCATGGAAGCCAATCATGAAGCAAGCTTGTCATTCTGGAGCAAGGAAAGAGTAAACACCAAAATAAAGGTGTTCCTGCATATTTCAACAAATTCAGAGCTATTGGAAAGCTTCCTGTCAGGATAATCCTCAGAAATAACATAAAAATTTTGGAATATAAAAGACTAAATAAACACAAAGTAGATCAAAATGCTTGACCAGAGAACATTCAGCAGCTTCTTTGCTTCAGCTGACAAAAAGAGCAAACCACGATCAGACACTCCTGACAGACAGGAGCATGAACAAATGCTGATCCAAGAACATCTCCCTCAACTACACAGGCTCTGCTCTACTAATTAAAACAAAAGCATATTCAAAGACCAGCAGATAATTTGAAAAAGAAAACCAATCAAACAACAAACTTAAAGGAGATTTGTACATTTTTTTCTTGTGCTGGAGAACGACAAAACAATGTGGACAGGAAAATCAGGAAAGAAACAAGACTCTGGAGGTCTGTCAGATATGGGGCGAAAAAAAAAATCTAACAAATTAATTTACTGAGCTTTTCTAACCCTGTGAGCATATGCATTGAGATGTATATCAAAACTAACAGGAAATACAGTCTAATGTCAGTGGGAAGAAATAATCTATGAAAAACAGAAGCACATAAACAAAACAACTGATATATTTGAAAGCTTATTTTACCCACAGGAAGGAAAATGACATTTTTTCATATTGCAGTCAGAGTAAGCAGTAACACTAGAAGTTAGGACAAAAATTTGTAAGCTGACTAACCACAGATTGAGTCATACATCACACCTCATGACAAACCCACAAGTAATTTATCCAGTATTTACAGACATTTTGATTTTGTAAAGCAAATGTAAACTTTGATAAATTCTTGAATTTAGAGTATTTTCGATTAACACTGAAAACTAAAGAGTGATTTTGCAGTGCTCTTCCCACTCCCACCCCCCATTTGGCTATCATCTATTCTGCAATAACGTGGCTAGAAAGCTCTGTGATACATATCTTAATTTATTCCCATTTTACAAAGACAGCAAACCACAGTTGTCCCTGTAGCTGCAATTCTAAGCAGCAATGTTTATTTGGACTGTATTTCTAAAAACAACTTTAAACATCAAACATTAATGCTTCTGTTACAGATGTCATCCCACAACGGAGCAAGCAGCAAGATGGAAATTTAAGACATACAGTATACTTTTTTTCTACATTAAAGATAAGAGATTATACAGTTAAGCTGATGGAAACTCATAGGACCAATCAGCCTACCACAAAAAAAGAAGTTCCTGAGAATTTTAGGATTGCAGTAAAGACTCTCATTTTAAAAAAGACCAAGAGACCAGATCTTCAGACAGCAGCTTCAAACCTCTGCGTGAAAGCCCTGCCGGTATGGGGCTCACTTCTAAAGTGTTCACAAGAGGCAGCTATGAAAAAGCAATCCCTTTTCCATGAGGATTAAGTTTATAACCACAGCTGCCTGCACCTACTGGAATTCCTGCCCCCTATCCCCCCCATCCAAAGGGCAACAAAAAGATTTGCATTCCACTGATTGACGTTTACATGTTCCAACATAAGACAAAAGTAAAGCTGTGTGAATGATTTTGGAAAGAACGTTTTATCCTGTTAGTAAACAAAAGCTCAGCACCATGTAGATCAAAGAATTTGCAACTAAATATTTTGTTTAGCTGTTAAACATAGAAATCAAAGTCCCCCAAAAAACAATAATCAAGCAGTAAATACTTGAACATAACATCGAAGAAATACTCAAAGAACATAGCTGATGTTGTACTGTAACATTTTACTTCATTTAAGTACAGCAAATTTCACCCGTCCTATGATTTATAAAGTACGCAAAATATGTACAGAAAGGAAACCAAACCCCATCAAAAGATGATCATACATGTGTATATGTACATACACACACACAAAATGTGCAAATTTCTTTTAATGCAAGTTAAACAAAGCATATGCAGGACAGAGTTGTACAATGACAATGGAACACAGAGTATTCTAGGTATCCTAAGGATGTTTCGTATCTACAGCCAGTGCAAACTTACAAGGCACAAACTCAACGCCGACACTGTAGTGTTGTAAGTTACATTCAGGCACATCTCAATTGGTAGTTCTTCAGAAAAAGATCAATGGAAGTGCTACTCCTGTACTAAAGTGCCGGCCTTCTCTCAAAGTTGAAGCACTAAACTGATGCACCCTACACGCAACAGTTACCAGTAGGGTTCCGAGTCAATTAATCACCCGAAAGTCTGTGGCTAAAAACATCTGTTATATTTTTTCCCAAAATACCTCCCATACATTCGCCAAAGACTACTTATACCTTGCCAGCCTTGGCATGTGGAATCTTGCAGGATGTTGCTAATGCTTTTTTCTAGCTTTAGTCCAACTCCTGCAGAAACTAAATCCAGATTTAAAAACAAACAAAGGAGACACATACAAAACCACAGCCAGCAACACACCTTCTGAGATACTTGCATTCAACAAACTTCTGCTAAATTGCATAGTGACAGTGTGTACCAGCTAGTAAAGAGTTAAAAACAAAAGCTTGCTGTTTAAGGCAAAATTTTAGCATGGCAGAAAAAGCCAAATACCAGTTCCGTCAGTATTTAAACAAAGTACTGGCCCTTGTAGTCTTGTCCTCACAGTGTTTTCTTTCTTTAATAGCAAATCCACACTTGCAGTATGCTTGATTAGCAAATTTTGTTGCATTTTTCTAAAGGAAATGAGAGCAATTAATGTGTCAATTGATTGACTGATAGTGAAAACACCTGCCAAATATGTTTTCTTCCACCCCTCAGAAAAGGGCTTTTTGAGCCTACTGGAAATTTAAAATTCACTTGTACTCAGGTCTAATAGTATCTAAAATTGAACTGATCAATTAAAACTTTTCTATTATTTAACAGACATTACCACATCACTTTGCTGTCTCACCCTAAAATTGCATTTTCATATCCTTTTTCAATAGAAGACATTTAATAGACATCTGAGGAAAACAATACAATATAAAAGCTTAAGGGTCTTTGCAAAGGTATCTTCTAATCCTTCTGCAAAGTAAGAAAGGAGTTATTTTATCGGCATTTTTTGAAGTGCCATCGATAAAAGACACAAGAATACTTAAGAAAGCAAAAAAAAAAAAAAGTTCTAATGTTCCACATGTATCTTTGGTTTAGCCTTCCTGACCAAAGTCTTCTGTAAACTTCTTCAACTTCTCCAGGTCCTGTTCATTAACTGTCGGTTTTGTGCTAGCTAACGACCTGAGCATATCGGCCTGTCAAAAAAAAATAAAATAAATCAGAAACAAGTATAGCACCACTGCTAACAATTTTGTTGCCAAGACAAATATGCATTAAAAAGCCCATTAAAACAGGATGACGAGAGGAGATCCTGCTTACACAAAACTAAGCCTAAATACTTCTGCACCGAGGCAGCTTTTTTAAACCTGTGAAGGGAGACAACTGTCAGTTTTTTAATAACAAAACCACAAGGTACAGGTTTAAGTCACTCATCCATTCAAGTTTTTTTATCTCTTCTTACTGAAAAGAACTGAAGTTCCTTTTCTTTTAATCCATCTTTAACTACAGCAGTTTAAAGTGGAAAATAATCAGATGTTCTCATGTACTCTTCGTAGTCCAACAATACAGGACAGTCATTTGTGATTCATCTCTGGCAAAGTTTTACTGCTCATGATGGGTAATTTCTGTCTCTTCATTTTCTTAGATAAATATTTAAATTCTAGAAAACAGAGTTCATAAAAATCACAAGGCTATGAAGCTGGGAGCAGTCATTTAAACACCCCTGAACAAAAAGGGGCAAGAAAACTAATCAAGTCCTAGCCAAAGGCCTAGCACCTCACATTACTATAAAATTATGGGTAAAACCAGAAGTTAGTGCCATGAATTCCTAGATTTGAGCTTTGTCTCATCAGACTAGAGATACTTTATTAATAAAGTATTAAAGCCTGACCTTTTTAAGGACAATAACTCCACTTAGACACTAAAACAACCACCTATGCAACTACAGTGCATCAGAGCCCTGGTACCATTAGGAGCGCACAAGAAATCGTTATGTTTAATTCCAGGAAGATCTAATTAAAAATCCACTTAAGACCATGCAGGCACCTCAGGGCACAAATATGCACAAAAAATTCTTTTCTGACATATAGTGATGGCTGTATTTAAAAACCAGTATCTACTGTTTTAGAGGTTTGTGACACCCACAAAATACACTGATTTCTTTCGTTCATTACAGGACGTTCATTACAGCATACAAAAAATGACAGCATTGTAGATTATTCCAGGAAGATCTAATTAAAAATCCACTTAAGACCATGCAGGCACCTCAGGGCACAAATATGCACAAAAAATTCTTTTCTGACATATAGTGATGGCTGTATTTAAAAACCAGTATCTACTGTTTTAGAGGTTTGTGACACCCACAAAATACACCGATTTCTTTCGTTCATTACAGCATACAAAAAATGACAGCGTTGTAGATTTGTTATCAAGTCCTTCCCTCAAATACTGTACTTAAAATTCAGAATCTTCTTTTGTTCCTCTTGGGGAAAAATCACAGTATCAGTGTCCAGCATTTTTTTTTTTTTTTGAAACAGTTACTAAAAACGATGCTACAGAGTGAAGAGAAGGAAGCACATCGTGAGACAGGCATCCCAAAGGTTTTGCTTGAATAAAAGACAAGTGAAAGAACAGCAAAAGAGCCAGATGCTGTCTGTGGATGAAAGGACGGTAGCTGCGTGCCAGCAGATGACAACATTAAGAAAGAAATGCTTATCAGGGATGGAGAGCTGGCTTTTCACAAGCATGCTGTACTGTAGCGCCGTATGTTGGGAGTTCAAGTGTTACCTGGCACATCCAGCATTTCTGAAAGCAAACAACTCATCCCATTGCCTTGCATAACCGTATGGAAAAAAAAGGGTCTTTACCTTAAAGTCTTTTCAGAGTTCTGCACAGCAAGAAAGAAATGCTACAAAAGAACACCTACCATGGAAACTTGAGGCTCCAGCAATTTATCGCCTGGAACGTCCATCCATGTCATTTCTATGGCTTCAGGATCACCTGGAGAGCAAGGGGTCAACAAATCTACCATAACATTTGGATTAGACACTGATGGTCCTTTTACCTAAAAAAAAAAAAAAGAAAACATTCCATTTATAGCAGTTAATTCTGAAGACAAAAATCCAGAAGCTGAATAGTGTCTTTAGAGCAAAAATATTCCTTGGTTTTATGCAGATGCCTCACCCATTGGGAAGGCTTGTCCCGTGAAAACAGAAATTGTGTAAGTGCATTGTTCACTTCGGAAACATACAGCTGTAGCCAGGTCAAGCCCCAGGAGCTGCTTCCTCCTAAGGTTGAGGATTTCTTTGGAAAACTAACATGGCAGGAAATTTAGCTGGAGAAGACCACCCTCCGTAGTCCCGGATCACTTTGGGAGTTCCTTCATCATCGGTTCACAGCTTTCTAAAAACCTCTCAATAATTACCCCTGAGTGTCCCTTGAGTTAGGAAGCCACAGTGGCTTTTCAGTCTTTGACACACCCAACCACAGAGTCCCAGAACCTTTTCCAACACCACCCCAGCAGCACTCGACAGAAGACAGGGCCATCTAGTGGGAGAACAGACATTGTCCTTATTGTTTGGTTTTTTTTTTTGTCCCAGACACACACACACAAGCCAAAAAAAAGCAGCACCAGGGACCTGCTCCCTTTCTGCAACTCCTTATCTGGGACCCATTCCTTCGCCATTACCTGAAGCATCACACACCTTCAGAAAGTCAAAATGTATGCAAAGACTTAAAGACAATACACTAACTGCCTATTTTTAACAGCAGGGAAGGGAATTTAAAGCACGAAGCCAGAGAGCACCCATCATAATATTCAAAATGCACTCTGGCAAAGCTGCATTATCACAGAACAAGGAATTGCTTACAATGAATTAGTAATAACTGAGGAAAGCACAGTTTAGCTGGGGCAAGTTGTTATGCAAATAATTAATAAAGCTAAGATTTTGCTTATAAAACCAGGAAATATAAAAATAGGATTGTAAAAATAGGCATTCACCTATAAAAATAGTAAACTGCATCCAATTAAAGTACTAACAATACAAGTGGAATCAGCTCAGCTTATATTAGAGCCCTCAAAGTACTGCAGTTGTGGGGTTTTTTCCTTTCTTTTTGGGGGCCAAAAGGAGGTGAGGATTCATTTTGGGTCACTCTGCAAACTGTGACAACTGAGGTTATCTCAAGTGCTCCATGGTAGCCTGAGACAAGGCTCAGATTCTTCCAAATTTTAATGAGGGGCTAAAAGGTAACAGCTCTTTAGCCAGAAATGTCATTGTCACTTAAAGTTACCAGTGAATAAATACTTCAGGCATTACTGCTTAAGGGAAGGAAGTAACTAGAAAATCCTTGATACATCAAAGCAGCTGCTTCTTTTAAAACAGTTTATATCACAGTGTTATTGCCGAGCTGTCGCCCAGAAGAAACTTATAAAAATCAGTGTTTCAAAACACTAATTTTTAAACTCAAAAAACCTTTAATTCCCTGCTGCCCTCTCCCCCCTGAAAAATGACAAGCTCTGGGTGTATTTTAATAACCAGAGTTGAACAAGCTTTTCTCAATGCAGACTTTGGAAACTTACACAGCCCTCTCATATTCTGAACCTTACTGGATTCAAGCGTTCCTTTCTCTTCCAATCTTAAGCTGAACGTGTTACTTGGAAGAAACTACATGGAGAAAAAGAGCCTGTCTTCAATTCAAAATAACTGTAGCTCTTCAGTGTAGGGCCCTTAATCCTGCCTGAGTTACCAGTAAAAAAATAAATTGTAATTGTAACTGAAATGACAGAAGTGCTCCCAACACAAGTCACATGCTACAGCTTAGGATCTAAAATTTTTCATACCTGCCCCAACCCCACATCTGCTCTTTAAAGGAGCAACAAATAGAAGCTTCCTTTACAGCAGCAAAAACCTCTGCAGAATACCTTGATCCACCTTCACCCAAGATATATTACTTTCAACAAAATCAAAGTTTGCATTGAAAATGTAAACAAAAAAATACTTTTAGTCTGGGTCTACTCTTAACAAAGATACTACACAGGAAAAATATAACTTTATATGTAACAATATGCATTACATTTATTTGGAACTCTGTTTATAACCATTTATAACATTATCACACTTTTTTTTCCTCCACTGAAGAGCTTAATAGTTTATAGAGAACAACTAATTTGATTGAACAAGACCTGTACGTGCAAATTCTCTGGGGAAAAAAACAATCCCAGATCTATTGGACTTGCTAAAGAACTCTAGTTGGTTCTCAGCCAGATAAAGTTTCTGACATCTAAACATTTATAACAAATGTTTCATAAGCCAGTACCTGGGACACAGAGGTAACTGTAACATGAGCCAAGCAATATAGTTTCAACCGTGTATTTAGAGTGCACCTAAGTAAGTGTAAACTAGTTTTCACTTTACAGGAGCATCCACAGGATCCTCTATGTTGTCCAAACAACAAAACCCAGCCCCCATATCCTTACTGCTATAACAAGAAACGCTGACTCAATGTTTTTACCAGAACTTTACAAGAACCTTAATTTTTCAGTTAGAAAAATAGGCCAAATAAGCAGAATGTGCATAATTACAATCCATCTGTTCCCATGTGGCTGAGGGATACATTTATTTAAATATGCTAGAAAAATGTGAAGAACTGTGTAACTTGATCCAGAAGAAGAGCACCTCCAGAACATTCCCACTTAGGTCAAGCTTCCAACTGAATGCTTTTAACACTACCTAGAGACATCAGGGGTTACCAGAGCTTGGATCTCACAGCACGAATACCCAGAAACTAGCTCTGCCAGACTTATGGCAGGACTAGGGGCTGGGATGGGGAAGGAAAAAGAGGAATACCCAAGCTGCCCCCTGGTTGATAAAAAGGACGTTCATAAGAGTGCAGTATTACCCAAAACCAAATTCAGTTTACTTGCAAGGAACTTCTGAATTAAGACAGTTTTTGGAGATGAAATAACTCAAGGAGTTTTTGATTTCTGCTTACTTTTTTAAAGTGAGTAGCTGATTGCACTTTCCTAACAGGCTGCATCAGTGCATCACGTACAATGATGCTTATATCTGCACCAGAATAGCCGTCGGTTTTCTTTCCGAGCTCTCGATAATCGGATTCTGTCAGGACGTTTGGAGTTGACCCAAGGTGAAGTTTGAACATCGCAGCCCTAGCATGGTCTTCAGGTAAAGGAATATAAATGCGCTTCTCAAACCTGGTTTAAAACAGAAAAAAAACAAAATGTTCCACAGATGCTCGCTCACGCAGGTGCACAGCAGAAAGAAGCTTATGCAAAATACAGCTTGTTCCTAACAACATTAGAAAGAAGCAGCTTCCATACTATAAAACTTAAAAAAAGTCTGTTCTCATAAATAATACTGTAGCTAGCATGAGCAAACTTCCAGAATATAACAACTACTTCTTTTTGATGACAAAGTTCACCTCTTCAGATTGATGTTTTTCCAGATTCTCTCAAGTAGAATCTGTATTTTAAAAGAAAAAATTGAGGGGAGAAAGTCATTAAGAGTTGAACAGTTTTCACATTCAAAGAAAGAACTGCCCGATAAGCTGACACAGACACTTTCTACAGCCTCTTGAACTCCTGTTTTCAATACAATTGTCAATAGAAAATGTTGATAACTGCAGTTCTTCCTTTGAAGCGGCATCTGTGCTCACAGATGCCTTCCACCTCCCACCAACAAAATACAAGTGACTCCAATTTCTGTAGAACACATGAAAAAGTGGGCCAAATCCATAAAAAATTAATTTCATTACTCTCATTGTTGTGCAAGTTCCTTTAAGTCTTACGGACAAGAGTTAGAGAGCTACTCTTTTGCTCTGCAGAGAATCATAGAATGGTTTGGGTTGGGGGGGGCCTTTAAAGGTCATCGAACCAATCCCTCCTTGCCAGGGGCATGGACACTGCCACCAGATGATGTTGCTCAAAGCCCCATCCAGCCTGGCCATGTCTGTCTCATATTGTGTATCCCAAAGCTGGAATTTTAAGAATGACTTGAAATTTTAAGCAACACTTGCACCTCTACATCTGTCTCACACAAAACTATCGTCATACAGGTTAGGAGCAACCTCTGGAGGTCACCTGGTCCAACCCCCAATCAAAGTACGGCAAAGCTTGAATTAAGCACATAAATAAAAGTCAGTGACAGTCATGAAAAAGTAATGTTTCTTTAGCTTACAAAAATGACCATTATCCAAGCTGTGCCTTCATATATGAAAATCATATTTGCCACACAGCTGTATTTGTCCTCTGCTGCTCTGCAGCTCAAAGAAAGATCCAGCTCATCAGATACAGGTATGGAAGCCCGTTACCTACAAACAGCAGCTAAAACATGCACTGAACGGTCACAGATTATGCCTGATTAGTAGAAAATCATGGGTGTTTCTGTGTAACACAGGGCTACAACTCCATGGAAGGACTCAAGCTACTCAACAGTTTAAAAGCTGAAGAGGAAGGCTCTACTCCCTCTTACCACAAGGAAACAAAATAGTTTTCTGTTTGCTCAAGCACAATCATCTAAACTACAGGGCCAATATAAGAATGAGCAACCTACCTCCTTGAAGGGGCAAGAGGCTATTCCTTTGGCTCAGTCCATCTCATGGAGCTGAGCTGTGGAACATTAATCACACATCCAAACATGAGCTGGATGGCTACCTCGAGTAGTCTCAGACTGAACCCTCACAATAGTGGTGAATTTCATACCATGAAAAAAATGCCATCCTACCGTCTCCTGATAGCAGAATCCAAAACCCAGGGTATGTTCGTTGCTCCTAAGACCAAGATTCCTTCGTTGTCAACACCAACACCTGTATCAGGGCAGAAATCATTTCACCGCTTAGATAATCAACAGAGACTGTTTTAAAATGTCATCAGAATTTAACAGGGTGGAACTGCAGATCTTTTTGGTGTTCTCATGCAAGCTACGCTTAAAATATGTATCTTAATTCCTTTGACTAACTCTGAAAACCGAGTAAATTACCTTGCATCTGGACTAGAAATTCTGTTTTTATCCGTCTAGCAGCCTCACTTTCATTTTCACTTCTTGACCCGCAGAGGGAATCTATCTCATCAATGAAAATAATAGAAGGTTTGTTCTCTCTGGCAAGCTGGAACAAGTTTTTCACTAATCTTAAAAAAGGAAACAGCTTCAGTTATCTTAATGATTACACTAGCAAAATCATAAAATTTAAGATTATGATACAGTCATTTCCTTTAGAGAAAGATAAAAAAGTGTTAATATAAAGCTATTCAAAGGCACAATATTCTTCCATCTCAAAGAATTAGTATTATCCTGAGGGAGACAACCCAGCATAAAGGGAGGCGAAACATTTTAGAATACTCCAGGCATAGTTTTACAAGAAAAAGCTCATTTTCAGTTTACATTTCTACAAGACAGCCCAGGCTAAACAAAGTCACCACTCTACACAGATTCAAAAGAACATGGCATTCTCTTATTTAACATTTGCAACCTAATCAGACTAACTAAAGATTTCGTATGATATAACATGTACATTTACTTTATACAACTTTAATAAATACTTTTTATATGATAGGAAAAGTTGATTTGCCAAAAATATCTAGCCATGTCTTAAAAAATAACATATTTTACAAAGTTAAAAAGGAAAATAAATAAAACATGCTGGGAAATTCTTCACATTACCAGCACTAAATCTCCAGCAATAGTCTCAAAAGAAGTCAAACAGAATAAAAGGTCAAGCTGGATTCCAGCTTTATATTCATTTTGCAACAGGAAAGCGGCTCAAGGTTTCCAGCTTTTACAGAAAAATCACAGGTCAAACACTTTACCTAATAGCCTTTCTTCTTCATCCTATCAACTTTAACTAGTGCTGCTCCATTGTCCCACACTTCAAACTATTAAAACACAGTTTTGACAAGTATTTTCATCATCACATTAAAGTCCTTCCTGTACAACAAATGCAGAGTTGGTTCTTTTTTTTTTAAATTGAGGAAATCCTCCTTGGAAGCCTAGACAAAATCCTGCAGTTCTAGACTGCAGCCAACATGGCACTTCAGCCTTTGTTTGTTAATGTGATACGTAAAGACAAGAGTTAGCATGCAAAACCATAAAATCTTTTTTTCATGGTTGCTTCTCTCCTTCACCCTATTTTTCCAAGTCTGTTATGTCTTCCAGATGTTGTCTGAAATGAGGATAAAGAAAAAACACCTCTGTATGGGCAGAGAAAGGCCACACACTAACAGCACAGCTGCTGAGACAGATGAGTGGGGAGAGGCAGAGTACCCCAACGCTTCAGACTGATGCAGTGTGCAATCCCAGCTGAGTTCAGAAGGGCCATGACCTTCATCGTGCTCCCAAAATGTTAAGACTTTCTTGAGCACTGAAGAGAAAGAAGTCCAGCTGCAGCAGCACAAAAAACCAGCACATGGTCGTATCTTCACACACTACTGCAGCATGAAGCATAGAAACACCTGAAGTTTGATTTTAGAAAGACATGACCCCTCCCTCAGATATAATTTCTTTACAGAAACTTATATAGCTTCATATCAATTTCTTCTTGCCAATGTTTTCCTGGACCTCTGGCAACTCCAACTTACTTTTCACTTTCACCTAACCACTTTGAGACAAGGTCAGAGGAAGATACTGAGAAGAAGGTGGAATTGTTTGCTTCTGTCGCCACAGCTTTTGCCAAGTAAGATTTGCCTGTTCCTGGTGGTCCAAAGAGGAGAATCCCTCTCCAGGGTGTTCTCTTTCCTGCAAGAGAGAAGCCAGCAATCTTTACTACACCACAGAAAGACTGAACCTATTCTTCCACTAAAGTCCCTCTAATTTATTCAGAGGTTTTTCCATATCTACCCATGAAAACTCGTGTCAGATGGATCACAATCTCCTTGCTAAGAGCTCAGCTTGAGTCTCTGACACATTGACATAACATTCTTCTCAGACCCCAGTACCAGTATTGACTGGCCAATGGCAAATAAATGCTGTAATTCTGACCTGTAAAGAGGTGTGGAAATTTAATGGGCAGTATCACGGCTTCTTTAAGTGCTTCTTTGGCACCTTCGAGGCCAGCAACATCACTCCATTTGACATTTGGTCGCTCCATAACAATTGCTCCTATAAGAAAAGATTATATAAATCAGTGATTTTCACAACTTCAATTAATTCTTTTTTTGGGGGGAAAAAAAAAAAAAAGTCTTAAGAAATCTATGTCCATACTGAATATAACCAAGGTATTTCTAAGTAGATATAAACACTGAATACTATTAGTCAAATGGATGTTATTTCTAGAGAAACTCGTCACATTGTTTTAGCACAATAAGCCACAAGATTGACATGACCAATTTCTGTCAACAATTTCAATTGCTAGCCATTTGGAATTTAGAGTCCAAAAGTAACATTGTATTGTTAAGGACGCTAAAAATTTTAGACACAGTTGACTGCAAACTGCCTTAGCTGGCAATTAATATATTGGAATTAATGCAACCACCCACTTCCAATGCATTAGATTCTTTTGCTAGGTTGATGACATCTCAGTTTTTCTTAAAGTAAACAGAACTGTGGGATCCATCACTGAAATCATTAGCGAAACAGGTAACAGATAGGAAGAGGAAATTATTTCAAAGTTGAAGTATCACAGTTATCTGCACCAGACATGCCATGGTAACTGAAATAACTGCACTGTAAGAGATTGGCTGTACCAGGATACAAACAGAACTGGAATCACAGGCTTTCTAATTTTGTAGGTGTAAATTAATAGCTGGAAGACTAAGCAACAGACTGCTAAATGCCTTTAAAATTCTAGATGAGAGTACACGACATTAGACCTACACCCAGTCTGAATGTTACCGATCACTTCTCCCACAATAAAAGTCAAGTTGCTGTTATAGTTAAAATCTTGATAAATACCCACAGATCTGGGAAAGCTCCACATGGCAAAGTCTGCTAGGAGTAACAAGGCAGCAAAATTAAGTGGAGGAAATTTCTGTGGTTGTTGTGGGAAGCAAAACTAAAACAAGTAATCTGAAGGCTGCCCAGAGTTTGTATTATTATCTCAGTAACAGACTCCTGTGCGAAGTTCAAAGGTACCAAGGATCTCACACCTCAGACTTTCAAGCAATCAAAGGTATAAGCAAGGACACTGATATTCTACAGAAAGCATCAAAGAAGTGGTGGGTGCAAGAAAGTATTTTGTGACAGACTCACATGGGAAAAAACCAAAGTAATTAGAGAAACAGAGACAGGATGAGCGTCCAATGCTTATCATTTTTCTGTCATTTTAAAATACAGCAAACTGCCCCATATAACTGTGTATATCATTAAACAAATGTGCAGAGAAGTAGAAAAAGCTTGGTGCAGTTTCCAAATATGATACAATAGCTCATGAAATTACACAGGCAGAAAGATCTCTGTTACACTGAAAAAACAGGAGAAGAACAATGCAAGTTCTTCAGATCCATAAGCACTTTCAGGCAGCGAAGCTCTGAACAGTTCTTCACTATTAAAGAGTAATAAATATCAAGCAAAGCCTCTTTTTCTTTTTTACTGTGTACAAAACTACTGGAAGCTGCTATACATTGCATCACTGACTGTATTCACTATTTGAGTTCAAAATCCCAAACTACTATGTTACTGAACTGGAAGAGCATCATCACTGCACATGAGAAAATGCTGCCTGTTATTACAAACTGGCAAGAATCCAGAACTCCTCCATTTGAGCAGAAGCTGTTTTGTAAAAATGGTCCTGCTTAACACAAAGCATTTGTACGACGTCTGTTATCTCAACCTCTAGGCAATACTCTCATGAACCTATGAGTAAAAAAACACTCATTCAGTCTAGCCAACAGCTACCTGGGATCTTGCAACTTCTCCCACTGGAAAATGCTATCCTGATAAATGGTATTAACATGAAGCAGAGTATAGGAGATAGGTTTCAATATATTCACTGTATAATTTCATGGCATGCAAATCCATACTTCCAGAAAGACAATGCCTTTGTATGCTAAGAGAACACACTAGCTGAGCCACTTAGAGGCAGTAACTTAATCCGTAACATTTAGGTGGCAAACCCATAGGATTGTTTTTGACTGACATAAGCCTTATTTAAAGAAAAAGAATGTTTCAAAATTACCTTGAAGTTGATTCTGCAGCTTCTTTTTTTCAGGATCCTCTGACTCCCCTTCCCCATCACTGTCATTCCTGAATTGGAAACAAGAAAAAATGTTGAAATAAAAGAAATTGCTGTCCTAAAGATAAACCAGAATGCAAAAAGCAGAAAAAACACCAGTCTGAGGAATGAAAGAAACCTTGAGAAGCTTTCAGATCTCTACAAGTTTACATCATTGCACTCCAGCTTTTCTAAACCACATTTTTTCTAATTCACCCACCTCGCCATTTCAACTTCTTATGGGTCTGAGCCCTCTTAACTCACTTCTACATGCTTTGAGCCACCATTCAGGAAACAAAAGCCATTGTGTTGAGCAATACAGAAACACTGAAATGGTTTATTTGTAGATGCTGGCACTTATGCCCTATCTGGAATTGCATCAGGAGAGTGTCAATTCCATCTACTACTATGAAAGTCTACACCTTGGTCTTGTCAGAGCAAAGGGAAACTGGGAGTTAAAGAAGGAAAAAAGAGAGACTAGATAGTTAACAACTGGAGCATAAGTCATGACAATAGATGCAAACCTCTGATACTACCAATTCCTTCCATTATAAACCAGCCGAACACAGTACAGCTCAAAAACCAAAACTTATAAGACAAGCAGACACAAAGGAGACTAAAAATCAGGTGAAGTTTCAAGACAGAACTGAGCAACTCTAGCTGTTCAGGCCTGCTAAAACAGGCAATCCCACCAGAAGGTATCATCTTGAATCCCTCCTACCCCTATAAAGGAAGCAGCAAATGCAAAAGAGGTCCTCCTTATTCAGGTGGCTCTGCTTGTTCAGCTGCCCGACCCAAAGTGAAAAATAAATCTAATAAAAGGAAACCAGTGGAGAGACTGAGCAGCAGCACGGGATCAGAGCGATTCAGTCCATCTTTCAGAACTTCACCCTACATAGAGCTTTGCACCTGTTATGAAGTGTGAGACAGATAAAAGTTGGGCCCCACTAATCATCAGTCTGAACTTATTTTTCTAGTTAGTAAGTATTTAAATGTAGAAAAATTATAAGGGTCATCCAGCTCATTGCCATTACATCCAATAATCATGTGTTAGTCTGAAACAGGTTTCACTCTTCAGTGAATTTCCTACGCGAACGTTTGCACATTCTAGTAAACAAGCACAGAAACGCTTGTGATGCTAATTCATGTTGTTGGGGATTTTTATTAGTCCACTGTATGTCAGCATTAGCAGTTATCTGAAGCATTTAAAAAGCACTAGTTAAAATCATCTTTGAAGAGTTGAATAAGCTGAGTTCAGGAAGTAGTTTGCTTTACCTTCTCAGAAAACATACCCTTTTCCATCAGCAGGACCAGACTCTTTAACTGGTTTTGGTGCAGTTTTTTCTTTCTTTTTCAGATATTCTTTCAGTTTTTCTGCTCTGTCCAAGTATTCTGTACATTTCACTCTAATACTCTGCTTTGCTTTATCACCCTGTGCTTCATCTAAGAGTTTGAAGAGAAACAATGCTCTGTTAGCAGCAACATACACATGCATCAATCAGAAAACAAGACTAAATCTGTCTTCATTATATCTTATCAGTATACCTCTCTCAGGGCTCACCATATAATTAAACACCTCAACTACTTATTTTTCCACTATACCACGGAAAGAAAGGACAGGAAGGATGTCATCACCTACCAGAAAACAAATATACACGTGAACATTGCTTTGGCTTAAAATTTAACGGCAAAAGATAAGGACAGTGGCACTGTGGCTTTCAGTCAGCCTTTCAAGCTGCTATACATTGTCTTAACTCCTTTTCTAAAACACCTCATCAAGAAGCTGCTTGTGCTAAGCAATTTTTATTTAGACGCACACTTTATTTTTCCATAGCCTGCTAATTTTAAAAGATGTTCACATCATGAGGAAAAAAAAACAATTACATAAAGCAACTGAAAAAGTTAGGGGTGGTTCAACAGCCACACTGTTCTCTTCATCACTACTACAGTATTTCAAATCAACAATCAAAAATTTGACTTGTTATGTTTATGTGTTAAGTTTCCAGAAGTACATCAGAATTGGTAAAAGCACAGAAAGTGATATTCTGATAAAGTTCATAAAATATAAATTCATAAGAAGTGACAAACACAGATTACCTCAAGCGATTATAAAGAAAACAGTGGTGCAGTTTTTTCCAAACCCCACTTATGTCAGGCAAGAAACCCTGGCCCACCCAGATTAGAGCTGTACCTACGTTAAGAAAGCCAACTCCTTGCATACAAACACTGGACATGACACAAAAGGTACACAGAAGTGTGAAAAGGCATAAAATAATGAGAATATGGAAACTGAAGAAAAATAACAACGTACAAATCCATCTCATACATTTTGTTGGCCGAGATGAACCGCAAGACTATGACATTACGGAGCAAAAAGTGCCAGCAGAAAGGTTGTAGAAAGGCAAGTGGCAGCAGTTGCCAGGCAAAAACCACTGCATAGATACAACAACAGCTTCTTGGTAACACGTGGTTTTCAGTACAACAGAAATACAGGGATTCCTGTACTTATTGTCACATTTTCTGGTGTAGTGGCCAGCTTGAAACATTGCTACAGAAGTCCAGAGGAGAGACAGCAAAACCCTGCCTTCCTGTCTTAAAAAACCCTAAAACAAAACACAAGTAAGAAATAGCTGATGACGACAGTAAAAATTTAAATACTGATGTCAACATAGGAGATTACTCTATGCAATTTGACTACTAAACTCTACTTAATCATCCAACACGTGACACTTACACTTAACGACATGAAGAAAATATTGCACAGCGTGTTGGTACAAGCGGAAGGCTTCCTCATAGTTTCCTGCTTTATCTTCTTGCGCTGCCTTGCTAGCAAGGTCTATCGCTTTCTGTAACACAAGCAAATAATTAAGCGCTGCATGAGAGCATTTTGCATGAGACACTTTAAACTGTTGTTCTGACTGGTTTGTGATCGCCAGTTTTTCTGTTCTTCAATATTTACCCCAAAAGTTGAAGACAATCCACTGCAAATCTTAGGTGGTGCTTTGTACATGACGGCATTTCTATCCTTTTACGAACAGTGATTATTAACAAATTGCTAACATCTATCAGCACCCAAAAAAGCATAAATGAGAAGAACAAGTTTTAGTGTAGTAAGTCAGAACTACTACTGGCTTGTTTATGCAGTTTTCCTTATCAGCCTCTTGCATTTCTTATGGAAAGATTCAGAAATCCATTCTAAGCAGGGTTGTTTGGTATTTATCACAGATCCAGACACTTTGAACTATGACTGATGACATGAGTAAACACTGTCAACAGCAGAGTGAATACAGGAAGGACAAGATTACCACACACTGAAACCAGCACTTTCTTCCAACCCTATAGCGGGAGACATCTTCAAAGACTGACTGTTTGGCTCCCCTAGAGGGATTTAGGTTCTTGATATCTAAGTGACAAATTCTAGTTACCAGTCCTGGGGGACGGGAGAAAAAACTCCAACCACACAGAGAATGTAACTAAATTATGAGCATCAAGGAAAGTTCTAGGAGAAGTTATGGATGGGTTTTTAATTTATTTGGCAAGCTTGTTTCAAAAACATCCCCCAATCCTACAAACTTGACCACGACCTAAGCCATCGTATTGTATACACTGGCCTGTGGATTTATTGGTATCACCGTTATTCCTTTGCTCTTAAGTGCTTATTACCTTTTATTACACTTTGCTCCTTGGAGTGCCTATAGCACTTCAGGACAATTAAAAATGTCAGTTTGAATGACTAGTTCAGGTAAGTTTTAAAAAAAATGAAGTTGGCTAGCCGAAGTTAACCAACACTAACTAAATCTTCCAGAGTCCCACGTGTATTTTTCCATCTGCAGTTAATTTCTTTTCCTGAGCACTGCTGGTAAGCTCAGGATGACTATAGCAATGTCAGGGAGCAAGGTGGAGAGCTTCAGCTGCAGCAAGGAGGTTTCATTTCCAGTACAGATAACTCTTGCCACTAGGCAGACACTCTGATGTGTTTTAGGCAAAACAAAGCTAATAAAAAGTAACCATGAAAGAAGAAACAGTAAAATCTCTCAGTCTATAGGTTTGTGTTGCTGTCTTGGAAGCAAAGACCATCTCAATCACCAGATCTACCCGAAATCAAAGAGTAATTAATTTAAAACCAGAGATCCAATAAAGCAGATTCTACACCTCTGTTGTGGCAAGTGTTGAAACACTGTAAGCATCTGTTTCTGTGGAAAAGAACTGAATGCTTCTTTTTTAGATAAGCCAGGAGCTGATAAGCATAAAAATGCATACAAATGAGTAGTCCCCTCCTTGCTGCTCACCTTGTACTGGCTCTGCCAGGTCTCTCTTAGCACTATTCAAATCCAGCAAAAGACCAAAAACTAATCCCAAAAAAGACGTTACTTTCTTCATAAAGTTCTTAAGCCCTTTTAGTGACTTAAATTTCCACAGAACAGTCCAATGACTTCTTGATCCAGTACAAACACAGTGATACATGTGGCACTAAATCCAAAGAAAAAACATCAGAGATCACTTGCTAAAAAGGAACTATCAGACAAAGGGCATGTCGCAGCCCAGCTCCTTTGAAACAGAAAATAAAGCTTACATCATGTATTGACTGGTTTTGGTATACTCTGGTTTTGTAAATACGCAAAGGCTATTACTTGGGTATTAGATTCTCAGCTTTACTATTTTATTACATCAGCTGGCATCTTAGCCTGTTACTGTGACAAGGAAGACTGCTATCAAATAAGTAAGAATTTATCAGCAATTGTAGGAACTAGGTCACAGATGGCCATCTCTAACTATCCATGAGGCACAACTTGTGTTTATTGGGCTACGACGACTTGATAGTTTGATGAACATCACTGTCAGGAAGACTGACAGCTTAAATAGGTTTCATTCTCCTTCTGCTTATTCTAGGCCCTGCGGTATCTCCCATAGCTTTGCAGTTGAAGCATCACATGGCTGTAATAAGCTTACAGAAATGATCATGTTTCAAAACATCTGAATAGAAAGTGATTAATTTTAACAGAGGCCATTTCTGGATCTGGATTTTGCCAACCGCAGAACCAAATACACAGCCCCAGTTGAGGGTTAACAGAAAACCAGAGCAGGCAAAGATTCCCACAGTCAGCAGCCTCGGAAAAACCCGAACCCAAACTGCGCCTGTAGACCGCAAAAGGCAACAGCGCTTCCCGGGCAGACACAGGGACTCCGCTGCTCCGGCAGGTCCCCGTCCCCTCCCGGGGGACTCAGCGCCCGCCGCCCGCAGAGCCCAGCGCTGACGGGGCCATTACCCCGCGGCCGCTCTTACTTCCCAGTCCCAAACCGAGATCCCTCGGCACCTTCCCCGCTCACCTT